CTGCAAGCTCCCTCCAAGTGTCGCCGAGGTCAACGCGAAGAAAATAGCTGACTCACACAACGTTTCAACAATGCAGAACTATGTCACAGTGATGCCAAAGTTCGATATGAAGATTTTTAACCGTATCTTGACACTATGGCAGGTACGGCAAGCCTTGCCATGGTCTCGAATTGAAGACCCTCTCCTTCAGGCAGCATTTTATTACGCTCGACCTGATGCCCGACTTTACCATCGTAAGTGGACAGCTAACGAGGCAAAACAACTCCACCTTAATTTAAGAGACACTGTTTATAGCGAGCTGGAAGTGAGTATTCTTTGTCTTTACTGTCTTTGCTTGTTTTCAGCTACCTGATGATCTACATCTTCTATGTCTCCGTCGATTCCAGGAAAGTTCACACTCACTCACGATGTTTGGACGGTCAAAGGGAATTTATGGGCTTTTATCGGTGGTGTGGTTAGCTATATTGATGAAGACTGGAACTATGTCACTCGCCACCTCACTCTTAAACGAGTGGCTCATCACCATAAGGGTGCTTGGCTTGCAGAGCCGCTTGTGACTGTACTCAAGAAACGAAACATTTACAAAAAGATAAGTATATTTCTGTTATTCTATCTTTCCTTTTTTCTTTCATGATACTGACATATTCTATTTCATCCTATTACATGCTAGCTCAAACAACGGACTCGGCATCCAACAATGTGACAATGGCAGTTGAGATGCATCAACAACTCCAAGAACACGACAAATATTCCTCTGAATACTCTTGGAATCCGGTGACCATGCACATCAAGTGCATGTGTCACAAGATTGGTCTCATCGTCAATGCCGGAATAGCTGCTTTGGGCCTTCCGACGGATCAAACACGCCACTTGGTTCTTGGATTCTTTCCCTCCCCAGTCGACTTACCGACAATCGATGAAGATGGAGAAGAAATTGACCCGGCTATCCTTGTGGGGTCTTCACCCTCTGACGAGGAATCTGATGCCGAACATGAAGAAGAAGAAATAAGCGATTCAGAAGAACAAGAGCGCGATGCTGAACCTGAGGATGAGCACTGGGATATGGAGGCGATTGATATCGTCCCTAAGCCCACCAGAACTAAGTCGAACACACTGAAAGTTTTGACTCAAGACGTGCGTTTCTTTTGCCAACTCACTTAGAATCATACTGACCTTTGTTCATTATGTAGCTTGATTTTGTTATCAAGAAAATAACTCGATCAAGTGCATGGCGTGAGGATTTCAACGCACGTCGATTGGATCCGAGGAGGAGGCGACCCGATGGCGAAGGACCTGGTTGATCTTTGATTGCAGGACACGGTATCAGATGGAACATTTGTCTGGAAAGATGGGAGCGAGCATATGAAAATCGTGATGTAAGTCCACATCCTGATTATGAAATCATTGCATTGAGCTGATAACACATTTTGTCAAACAGGTCATTGATGATATGCTTAAAGAAGATGCATCAAAGTCTTCTATGAAAAAGTCTCGAAATTATAAAAAAGCTTCAAAGAAGGCTTCTGGGTATTTTCAAGAAACGTTCTTCTCAATTTCAGACTGGAGAAATTTAAGAGATTTACTAGATGAGCTGCGAGTAAGTTCCCTCTTCCACAAGAACAAATCATGCATTTGAGGTTGTACTAACCTAACACACATCCTTTGTTTTAGCCGTTCAAGACTCTCACTAAGCGTATGGAGGCCAACGAACCAACTGGATGTATGGTTCTGGCTGAATACCATACTCTACTTACTTCTTTACGAGCTCGATCAGCTTCTCTTCCACCTGACAATCACATGCAAAGTTTTTTGCAAACCTGTATTGAACAAACAAAGGTTTACTTTGACGAAGCCCTCGGTTGTGACGCACTTCTCATGGCTGCCGTTTGCCACCCTGCTCTCCGCTTGCGATTCTTTCATCATGCTCTTGGACCCGATCATGCCACAACCATCCACGCCACCGCACTTCTTGAGGACCTGTTTAACGAACGCCAGTCTGAACTGGATCTTCCTGCCAATTCACCACACCGTCCTCAATCTGAAGCGCCAGAAACCAGTGTGCCTGACATATATCGGCTTTATCAGACTGAGCATACCTCTTCAGTACCTAACGAGTTAGAGCTATACTTGAAGGGTGTGGACCCTTTGGTTTCACCTGGTGTGGAGAATAGTCCTAAGCCTGTTCTTAAATGGTGGAAGGTAAGATTTGTTTAGTTTTCATATTAGACGTTTTGCAATTCACTAATGCATTTTGACATTCTTCAGGAGCATCAACTCAAATATCCAGTATTGGCTTCTTTAGCACGGGACTTTCTATCGGTCCCAGGTGCTTCAGCAGCTGCTGAGCGCACTTTTTCGGCTGCAGCTGATGTGGCCACCGCTGTGCGAGGCCGTTTGAACCCTCGCACAATTGAGATGTGCGTTGGGAGTCGCTTGTGGCTACGTGAGGGTGTTCCCATTACCGACGAATACGAAGACGTTGGTTTGGTCATAGAAGCTTGGCAGGAGTCTGTCAAGAAGCGTTCTAAAGGGAAAGAGAAGGCTCCTCCTTAGTTTAGATTAATAACAAACATTATGAATTCTTATTTTCTTATTTTTTACTTTTCCTTTCTTGGCTTCACAAAAAAAACCTAATAAAATCTAAAAAAAAATACTTTTCTTTCTTCTTGTTGAACAAACCTTGTGAGCGAGTCTATTTTTTTGTTGTCTTTTTTTTGCTCTATCTTTGCGATTTTTGTAGTGGCCCGGCCGCAAAATCCGTTGCGTTGTACCGTTTTTTCGGCCGAATCCGTTGCGTTTTTTTTAATTTCCTGCCTTTGAAAAATTGTATCGTTGCGTTCAAAATGAAATCGGTGACTCTTGTGTTGCGTTATCACCCTGGCCGTTCGGCTTTGAGTTTTGAGCGAGACGTTACCCAAAAACGTCCGACTAACGTAATTCAGCGTAACGGCCCAACGTTGCCCAGAGCACGCCAGACGCTCTGGAGCACCACCTTTTCCCCCACAAGTCATTCAAAACTCAAGTTTTCCAATTTTTTCAGTGGGATTATGCCTATCAAAGATGTGCCCTTCAATTATACCTATCCCAATTTTTGTTCCACTCCAACAAAAACTTGAAGTCACTCAGAGCGCTCTGGAACCCACTCAGAGCGCTCTGGAACCCACTCAGAGCGCTCTGGAACCTCACTCAGAGCGCTCTGGAAACTCACTCAGAGCGCTCTGGAACTCACTCAGAGAGCTCTGGAACTCACTCAGAGAGCTCTGGAACTCACTCAGAGAGCTCTGGAACCCACTCAGAGCGCTCTGGCACTCCCTCAGAGCTGAGGATACTAGGACTTCTCATCTCACCACCCACAATCCGATCCACAAGAGTGTCTCATATCACATCAAGTCCGCGGAAGATGTGGTCATAGCAAAATGTTAGACAAGCTTGAACACTTGACTTGTTCATTCAACATGTCCTCAGATCACATCATGGACACATCTCATAGATTGTTCTTACAATCAATCGCAAAAGCTGTGTTCTTGAAAGCATTGAAGTTTTGATTTCACTTCCTTTGTCAACCACAGGGGCCAAAACAAGAGCTCACATAGCGGTGAGCATGAAAAGCCTTCCATATTCGTTCTAAAAACCATCATTTCCAAATATCCTTTCATGTCACAATTTTTGGTTGTGTTCAGGTGATCAGCATGCAGAACTTCCATCTTGCTCAAGTTTGCTCAAGTTTGCTCAAGCATGCTCATCTTCATCTTGATTGAGCATTCCAAATGAGCATTCCTTGAGCATAGATCAGTACTCAGGAATCAACTGGCACACCTCCACATACTCAGAATGGTGCCCATTATAATCAAGCCTTTGAAAGAAAAAAACACATGTAAACATGTCTCCATACAGCGCTTCAAGAGTTTATCGGTACATATATTTTTTTGTGTTGTGTCTGTCAAAAGTACAAAAGTACCAAACCTGGGTTAAAACCGGTTTTGTACCAAAATCTACCAAAATACCGGCCGAGAACATGCGTTGACAGATCCGTTCTCTGACCCACTCCGGTCCCCCCCTCCACAACAGAACCCACGCACAGCGACCACAGCCTCAACGCCGTCTACCTACTCGATCCACCTCCAATCGAACACCACTCCTCGACACTCCTTCTTATCATCACCTACACCCGACACCTCAACAACCCCTCCAATAACCGACATATTGATCTATATTGATACTTCAAGCCGACATCTCAACCACCCCTCAACTAAAACAAGAACATCCAACAATCGATGCATCAATACCTCAACACCTTCACCTCCATTCCAACTTCATCCCCGACCACGACAACTAACCCTTTACAAACAAACAAACAAACAAACAAACCACGCACCTCAAATCATTAACAATTCGCTACCCAATCATTTTCATTCTCACCTTGTTTCTTTAAATCTTGCTCTTCTCAGTTTCCTTTCTTTTTATCATTTCTTCTCTACTTCTGTTTCTCTTTGTGACCGCAGGGAAAGGAGCCTGGAATGGGGAAGCTTGCCTTTCAACCCATCCGAGCTCATCCTGTTGATGTTTCCTATCGCAATCTAAATTGTTGATGTAGGTCGATTCTCTCTATCATAGCATCTTTGGTCTCAAAATCACATACCATTAAACTGATTCAATCAACTTCCTTTGGTAGGACCTTCTCTTGAA